GCAGGCAGATTCTTAACCACTGTGCCATGAGGGAAGTCCCAGAAGTTTGTACCTTTTGACTCCCTTCACCTCATTCAACCACCCCCACCCCCATGGCTGGCAACCACCAATTTGTCTGAGTTCAATTTTTTCCTTCTTTCTTTTTAAAATTTTCAAATATAAGTGAAATCATACAGTATTTGTCTTTCTCTGTTTGACTTATTTCACTTAGCATAATGCCCTCAAGGTCCATCCATGATGTTGCAAATGGCAGGGTTTCCTTCTTTTTATGGCTTAATAATTTTCCATTATATATACATATGAAGGTCTATACAGATCCTTTTCCCATTATTTAATTGAATTATGTCTTTTTGCTATTGAGTTGTATGAGTTCTTTATATATTTTGGATATTAACCCCTTGTAAGAAATAATTGATATATAACATTGTGTAAGTTTAAAGTGTACATTTCTCTCTACCTGGAGATAGTAGTGGATTTCACAGGTTAAATGCTCCCCCCTTTGCTGCCCCCCTACTCCCTCCCAGACTTTAGATCCCAATGGTAAGTAAGGTTTTGTTACATGTACTTTTGACCAACTGGCTATAAATCAGAGGTTCCTGTGATTTCCTCCTTGGTTTCCATTAATTTGCTAGAGTGGATCACAGAACTCAGAGAGACATTTTACTTACTAGATTACCAGTTTATTATAAAAGGGAAAGGTATGGGGAATAGGCACTGCACTTCCATGTCTTCTCTGAGAGCGTCACTCTTCCCAAATCTCCATGTGTTCACCAATTCAGAAACTCTCTGAACTTTTGGATTTTTACGGAGGTGTCATTTCATAGACATGATTGATTAAATTGTTGGCCACTGGTGCTTGATTCAGGCTCTCTCCCCTCCCTGGAGGTCAGTGGGGTGAGACTGAAAGTTAGGTAGGAGGTCAGGGGCCCCTGGTTAGCTCCCCTGATAACTAGCCCCCATCCTTAGGTGATTTCCCAGAGTCACCTCATTAACATAACAAAAGACAACTTTTTCTTTCTTATCACGCAGGAAATTCCAAATGTTTTAGTAGCTTTGTGCCAGGAGTGGGGGGACAAAGACCAAATATATATATTTCTTTTTATAAATCACAATATCACAGCTTCCAAACCATTTGTTGTGTTACCGAGTCTAAGCTTGTACTGCTTGTCCACAATAGGCCAATATGTCGAGAGAAAAGTTATTGGGGCAAGGAATAGTGACTTTATTTGGAAAGTCAGAAAATTGAGAAGATGGCTGGCTAATGTCCTAAAGAACCATCTTAACTTGGAATAGAATTCAGGCTTCTTTTATGTTAAGGGAAAGGGGAAGCAGGAGGATTCAAGATTAAAGGGTAAAAGTGGAGTGCAGACTTCTTGGAGCCACCTGGCCTTCAAGGGAAGCATAACATTTCTTTGTCCTTCTGCTTGCTCATGTAGGCTGGATCACAAGCCCCCTGTAAAAACTTAAAATTGTTAGTAGTTAGTTTTACTCTACCATTCTTATCTCTGCTTATTAGCAAGATTTCTGGGCTGAAAGCAAACTTATCTACAAGTAGTAGCCATAACTAGCTCGGGACCAGGGGATGGAAACTTTCCTCAGGAGAAACTTAATGAGCTATTTGGGCACAAGCAATATTTCTCTAATATTTAACTCTTTATGCGCAGGACTAGAGTAATAGAGTATAAGCTAAAAAATGAGGGAGGCTGTTCCAACATGGTGTTAGTTCTGTTCTTCCTCTGTTACAGTTGGAAAGACTATACTGCCATTGAATTGCTTTTGCACCTTTGTCAAAAATAAGTTGGCTGTACTTGTGTACTATTTCTGGGTTCCCAATTCTTTTTCTTTGAACTGTCTGTCTCTTTGCTAATATCAAACTGTCTTGATACTGTAGCTATATAATAAGTCTAAAAAATGAGTAGAATGATTTCCACTTTATTTTGTCTCAAAATTATTTTATTGAGCTGGCTGGGTCTTCCAGGGCTAGGTAGGATTAGAGTGGTGAGAACAAACATATTTGCCTTGTTCCCAAACTTAGGGAGAAAGCATTCAGTCTTTCATAATTTAATTTGATATTAGCTATAGTTTCCCCCCCTAACTTATGAAGTTAGGAAGTTCACCTCTACTCTTAATTCCTGACAGTTAAAAGAAAACAAGAAATGACTGTTCAATTTTGTCAAATGCCTTTTCTGCATCAATTGATAAGATCATGTAATATCTTTAATTTTATCCTGTTAATATGATGGATTACAATGATTGATTACATTGGTTTAATTTATTCCATGACTTAATAAACACCACTTGGTAATAGTGTATGATTATTTTTATATATTTGTTAAAAACATAATAACAGGCCCCAAATGGAGTCACTTATGCTAAACCTCATGTCACCAAACCGACACATACCTTAATTACAGTTTCAGCTCTCCAAGAAATAAAATCTTAAACCAGTCAATACAGAATCACCTGATCAGCACTTGTTAGGTAATCTGCCTGATAGACCCCTGTCATTCCCTAAAGGAAAGTAATCTTGCAATAACCAATCTGTTTTCTGCCTGATAGAAATAACTTCCTTGTTCCTGCTCTCTTCTGCCCATAAAAAAATTTCATTTTGCACAGCTTCTCAGAGCTCCTTTCTATCTGCTACGTTGGATGCTGCCAGGCTCATGAATCGTTGAATAAAGCCAATAAGATCTTTAAAATTTACTCAGTTGAATTTTATTTTTAATATATTTAAAAATTCTATTTGCTAATACTTTGTTAAGGATTTTTTCCTTATCAACATTCATGAAGTATATTGATCTGTATTCTTTTTTTTTTTTTTTTTTGGTACTGTCCTTCATGTTGGTATCAGGGCAATACTGGCCTCATGAAGTTAGTTGGACTGTGTTCCTTTCAATTGTTTATTCTGAAAGAGATTGTATAGAATTTGTGTTAATCTTTAAATGTTTGTTAGAAATCTCCAATCTCCAACATCTGGGCCTGAAGATTTCATTTTCAGATGTTTAAATTTTGACTTCAATTATAGAGCTACTCAACATATTTATTTCTTGCTGTGAAAGTTGTTGGAGTTTGTGCTTTTATGAGCAATTGGTGTATTTTTCTAAGTTGTCAAATTTATGTGTGTAGAATGGTTTTGGGTATCCTCTTTTATTTTAACGTCTTTATTGGAGTATAATTGCTTCACAATGGTGTGTTAGTTTCTGCTTTATAACGAAGTGAATCAGCTATACATATACATGTATCCCCATATCCCCTCCCTCTTGCATCTCCCTCTCACCCTCCTTATCCCACCCCTCTAGGTGGTCACAAAGCACCAAGCTGATCTCCCTGTGCTATGTAGCTGCTTCCCACTAGCTATCGATTTTACATTTGGTACTGTATATATGTCCATGCCACTCTCTCACTTTGTCCCTTCCCCGTGTCTTCAAGTCCATTCTCTAGTAAGTCTGTGTCTTTATTCCCATCCTGCCCCTAAGTTTTTCATGACCTTTTTTTTTGCTCTTCCTCTTCTAGTTTATTAACGTGGGAACTTAGGTTATCGATTCGAGAATTTTCTTCTTTTCTAATGTAAACATTTAGCAGTATAAAATTCCTCTCACCACTACTTTACTTGTCAACTACAAATTTTGATACATTTCGTTTCCACTTTCATTCATTTCAATGTATTAAAAAAATTTCCTTGAGGGCTTCCCTGGTGGTGCAGTGGTTGAGGGTCCGCCTGCCGATGCAGGGGACATGGGCTCTTGCCCCGGTCCAGGAGGATCCCACATGCAGCGGAGCGGCTGGGCCCGTGAGCCATGGCCGCTGGGCCTGCACGTCCAGAGCCTGTGCTCCGCAACGGGAGAGGCCACAACAGTGAGAGGCCCGCATACGGGAAAAAAAAAAAAAAAAAAAATTTCCTTGAGTCTTCTCTTTTGACCCACGGATTATTTAGAATTGTGTTGTTTAATTTACAAGTGTTAATTTCCCATTGTCTTTCTGTTACTGGTTTCTTGTTTGATTCTATTGTGTCCAGAGAACATACTCTTGATGGAGAAAATTTTCACATACTGAGGTATGGAGAAGTCATTTTGGCTTATACATGGTTCAGCCTGAACTTTGGGTGAACTAAAGCAGCCTGACTCATGGCCTGTCAAGTACACACAGTGTATCTGCTTTAACCATTAAGGTAAAGAATGTCTGTTTCAAAGGTAAGGATAAATAACTCCCTTCCTATAGCTTCCAATGTTAACACTCCCTCAAAGATAAAGTTCCCTTTCCAGACACCAGGGTCCTGCTGTCTCGCTGTATATGTAATAAATCTGTCTCTTTTGAAAGCTTGAAGGAATATACCCCTGTCATGTTTGATGTATGCTCTTTGTTCTGATAAGGTTTAAGCTTATGCTAAAAACCATGCTTCAGGGGAGTGGTTCCTCAGAGCTATCTGAGAAGCTGTCTCCTGGGCTACAGTTCTCAGTTTGGCTCAAATAAAACTCTTTTATATTCCTATCTTAGATTGTTTACTTATTATTTCCATCAATACTGTCTAAGATTTCAGTTCTATTAAATTCGATAAGATTTGTTTTACAGCCCAGCTTATGGTATCCCTTGGTAAATGCTCCATAGGTGCTTGCATAGAATGTTTATTCTACTGTTTGGGGGCGGAGTGTTTAATAATTGCTGATTAGATATTATTGTTTGATGGTGTTTGAAGCCACAGGAGTAGGGGAAAGGCCTGGGGCTACTTGGGGTGACCGACTCTGGTCACCCAGAGCTCTGGGTTGTTCCTGGCTTAATTCCAGGATACATACCTCTGGTCCACCTTTCCTCCTGACAACTCTTAACTACACACAAGTCTACGTCACTTCAACATGGCCGCCCACAGGCCTGAGTGACTACAGGGGCGCCGCCATAATGACTTCAAATTTAAGACATTTAGAGAGGGGCGGGGTTCAGCAGAGCGCCATGCTGGATACTGGCAAGTTTTGGCAAAGAAGCCGCTACTGAGCATGCGCACACCCAGGAGGCGCCTAAGGAATTCCGCAGGGACAGGGAGGGATCCAGAAAAAGGAAGTGGGTGCTGTTGTCGTTCCAGTGATTAAATGACCACTGTCTTGAAAGAGCGAGGGTGAGGGGCTGGTGAGTGCAGGGAGTTTCCGAGGGCTGAGTGAAGAGGTGTCTCTGATGTCCGTGAAGAACAATCGGGTCAGTGATGGAGGCGGTCAGTGGATGGAATAATAGCGGTCGGTGTGGTCTTGATGGTGGCTTCCCGGCGGATTGATAGTGGCGTCTTTAATGGTGGATCCGCGGAGACATGGGGTGGGAGTGATGGGGTCTACGATGGTGGATTCCCAGGCGGAGTGATGGGGTCTGTGGGATCTTTGATGTTGGATCTGTGGACGGCTTCCCGCAGTCTGTGGGGGGTGGGGAGGATAACTGTGGGGCCTGAGTAATGAAGGCTCTGAGGGGGAAGGATGCTAGATCTTCATTGATTTCCTCTTTTTTCTAATTACTGGTTTGTTTCTATTTCTGATATTTTAAAAGTTGTCGATGGAAATAATCAATAAATAATCATAACAGGAGTAGAAAAGAGTTTTATTTGAGCCAAACTGAGGACTGTAGCGCAGGAGATAGCGTCTCAGAAGGCTCTGAGGAATCTCTGGGTTGAAGCATGATTTTTAGCATAGTCTTATACCTTATCAGAACAAAAATCATACATCAAACATGACAGGGATATATTCCTTCAAGGTTTTAAGAGCACCAGATTTAGTACATATAAAGTGAGAGAGCAGGATCTTGGTGTCTAGGAAGGGGATGCCACGGGAAGGGAGTTATTTATTTTTATCTTCGAAACAGACTTCTTTACTTTAATGGTTAAAGCGGATGTGCTGTGTGTGTTCACACAAGTTCAGGCAGAACCATGTATAAGCCAGAATGACTTCCCCATACCTCTGTATGTGAAAATTTTCTTTATCGTTATCATGGTACACTTTGCTAGAGACTTTTTGATCCCTTCCATATCCAGATTAGTAGCTACTGTGTCATTCCTAATATTTATGTATCATTTTTCTTTCCCTTTTTTATTATCAATCATCTCAAGGTTTACTTTATTGGTCATTTTGAAGTACCGATTGTGTTTATACTCTCTTCTGTTTTTATATTAATTTTATCTTTTTATTTTTAGATAGTTTCTCTTTTATCTCCATTTTATGTAAATTGCCATTCTTTCCCTTATTTTCCCAGTTTTATACTGGATACGTTTAGGGGTATAAAGTTTCTTTTATATACATCTTTATCTTTGAAATGTATAAGTTCAGTTTGATGTTCCACTTTGATCCTGAGTTATTGGAGTTTCTTCATTCCCAAATTATTGATATGTTTTGTTTATTTAAAATTTTATTATATTGTCATAAACTGTAGACTACAAAGTCTCAAATTTTAAAAATTTGTCAAGATTTTCCTTGAAGACAGGTTACACAAGTTACATTGAACTTTGTTCAATGGCTATAGGAGAAAGTATATTTTCTGTTTGTGTGGTATAAACTTCTCTTAATGTATATTAAATATAGCCTGTTAGTATTTTTCAAGTTTTTTTCTTTCCTATTTTTGGTCTACTTGATTCATCATATTCTGAAAAAGATATAAAAATAATCTCTCACTAATAATTCACTTTGTAGTTCTATATGCTTTTTTGCTAGATTTATTTGTGTGTGTTTGGGGGAGAGACACACATAAACCTAATGGTTAATGCATTTTGTATCATTTTTTTCATTTATTGGATGCTATTATTACAGGATCCCTCTTTTCAACACAAAGCAATTTCAATTTTGAATTTCACTTTGGTATTTATATTGCTATCCTTGTTTTCACTTTCATTTCATTTGGATGATTTATCTTTGCCCAGGTCTTTATTTTATATTTCTATTTGTCTCATTGTTTAGGTTAACTACTTATAATAGATACATTTTAGTTTTCTCAAATCCAACCTATAACCTAGTCTTTGTTTGTCAATAGGATAATTTTACCTTTTCAGTTTAGTGTAATAATGATTTACCTGATTTTTATACCTTCTGTTTTAATGTTTACTATTTATTTTAACTCATTTTCTTTTCCTTTTTCATACTTTTATTAGATTGATGAAATTTCTGTTCATTGTTTCCATTCTACACCCCAGATAACTCCTGTTTTTTTCCTGAGATAGTTTAAAATGTTTTGTCATAGGATAGTATTATTAATTTTCTGTTTAATGGCCTCCTTATCACATAATCATCTTTTTAAATAATTATATATCTCTTGCAAAAATTATTGCTGAACAATTTTTCCATTTGCTGTTTCTCATCTGACTTATTTTACATTTGTTTGGAATACTTTTTGTGGGTATTTTCCTCAGGTAATGATAAGAGATATTCTTCAAGTGCTTTTATTTCTGAAAATGTCTTTGGCCCTAACAGAAGTGGTCCTTTAGATGCTACTTCTGATGTCAGTTAGCTTTCATTACTGCAGATGGGGCATCTTGATTTTCTTAATTCTTTTTCTGTAAATAATCTGTTCTTTCACACATGATTTAGATGTGTTTTAGATTTTAAAGTTTACCTTTAAAATTCAAAAATATTCCTAGATTTGTTCACTGATTGAGCTCCAACTGGTGTGCGTGTTTGTGTGTAAATTTGTTGGAAAGGCTAATGGTGTAGGCCTAGTGAGTGGTGTGGATAGTGGTAGGAGTCCTTGGGTGATTTCTCAGAGTCCATCACAGGTGCAGGTATGTCTGGAATTGGAGTCTTGGGATCACTGATGGAGATGCATTGTGGGTAGTGTGGACAAAGAACACTGCCTGCCATTTCAGTAAACAAAGTATGTTGTGGCTATCAAGCCATCAGCCACTGCAGCCACCCCCAACTGTGCATCCTGAGGGGAATCCAGAATGGGGAAAAGCAGGATATTGGCCCTAGATAGTTAGATGCATGTCAAAGGAATGATTTCAGTGAGCCCACACTCTTGCATCTCCCATATATAGGAAAGTGCTAAATTTATTAACTTGAGATGTCTGGATTTTCTTTAATTGACAGTAATCTTTTGATGTTCCAATTAGATGGTTTTGGTTTTGTTTTGTTTTGCAAAAACTCATATATATTCTGGCTCCTCCCTTACCTCTTTGGAACAGTCCCTCAGAGCTATCTGAGGGGCTGTACCCTGGGCTTAAGTCCTCAGTGAGTCTGCTGAATAAAATCCTCACCTTTTAGGCTGTGCATTTTTTTTTCAGTCGACAGTAGTGATAACAGTGTGGAGGCCAGTTATTGGTACATGTGGTATTGTGATATAATAAGAAATATATATTTTGGGTTTCATCCACAGTTCCCAGCACATAGCTCCTAACACCTTTATTATTTCCTAAGTGATAAGGGCTATAGGGGCTTCTTTTGTTCCTGTCTCTTGAAATAGCATCAAAGGGATAGGGTGAAATTAGTGGGGGTTTTTTGCTATAAAACATTCCTTTCAAGCACACCTGAAGTGATGTTTGGAAAGGCCCTAGTGAATTGCTGGATGGGGGCTGGTTGCCAGGGGAACCAAGCAAATTATTAGCGTTTTAGAACTTGAAACCCACTCTCTGGCTGGAGGTTGAATCAGTTGCCAATGGCCAGTTATTTAATCAATCATTTGTACATTGTGAAGCCTCCATAAAAACCCAAAAGTGTGGGGTTTGGAGAGTTTCTGGATTGAACATGTTGAGATTCTGGGAGAGAGATGCACTGCTTCCGACATATCTTGCCATAACCATCTCTTCTATTCTACCTGGCTGTTTCTGAGTTATATTCTTTTATAATAAATTGGTAATCTAATAAGTAAAATATTTTCTTGAGTTCTATGAGCTGCTCTAGCAAATTAATGGAGACTGAGGAGGAGGTCGTGGGAACCTCTGATTATAACCGGTTGGTCAGAGCACAAGTAACAACCTGAACTTGTGATTGGCACCTGAAGTTGGGGTGGGGACAGTCTCATAGGACTAAGCCCTTAACCTGTGTGATCTAGTGCTAACTCTTAAGTAGATGGTGTCAGAACTGAGTTAAATTGTAGGACACCCAGCTGGTGTTGTAGAATTGCTTGGTTTGCGGCCCCCTCCTCCCAACACACACAACACACACACACACACACACACACACACACACATTTGGTGGCCAGAAGTGTTGAGAATAGAGGAAAAATACACAGGAGGAGTTTTTCCTTTTCAGGGCATGATTGATGTAGAACCAGGACCATGAGGTAGAGATGTTGGAGGTTCTGTGATCAGGGACTGTAGAATGAGTGATTGTGATCTCGTGGAGAGAGCAGTGAGTGGTGGCTTGAAGCGAGATCTTAGTTCCATGCCCAAGAATTGGACCTGGGTAGCCTGGCTGAAAACCAAAAATCCTAGCCCCTAGACCAGCAAGGGCAAAGTTTCCCTGGCTCTTGCCCCATTTGAAAGCAAGAATGTTTCAAGGAGGCAGAAACCGTAAAAACAGGTACAAAGTTTATTATTAGAGACACAGCACAACATGTGGGAGAGACATAGAGAAACAGTTTGTGTAGTTAAGACAGAAGCAAGGCAGAGATACACACCCGGAGAGAAAGAGTACGGGCATCCTCCCTAATGAGGAGGAGTGAAGTAAGGAGGTGGTTAAATCATTTATATAAGGCATTTCATCTGGGTCTTTGCTTATCTTTAACCAGTTATCTCACTTCTTTTTCCACACCTGACCTATCCTAGGTCCCTCCCTCACATGTATGCACATCTTTTTGCCAAGATGGATTCCAGTGCAGAAGCCTGTGGGAAGGTTGACACCACCTATTATGGGGTGGCACCCCCTCCCTTTTTTGCACGTGTAGTTGGGGAGGTCTCCTTGACCTCAAACATGAGAAATATGTGGTCTCTTTATCGTTTATCTGGGCAGGACTCAGCTCCTGTCTGCCCCTGCCATTACTGTTATCTTAAAGTGTCCACTGGAGGCAAAGTGCAGCTGTTTACCCTGTTCCTGTGTTCTTTCTATCTGGAAGTGTAAACAGGAAGCTGGCTGTAAATGTCTAACCTGGAGCCCATCTATTTCTTGCCTCAAGAAATATAAACAGAGGATGGTTGTAAATGTCTAGCCTGGAACCCATCTATC